ATCGATCAGCTGCCTCTTGCACACCCCCCACTGGGGATATGCCCGCAACCAAGGTACATGCCCTTGACGGGAATCGAACCCAGGTCCCTTCAGTCCCCAAGCCGATGCTCTATCCATTGAGCCAAACCGGTTTTGGCCTGATTTGCATTTTCAAAAGACTCTGGCCAGGAGACTGAATGGTGGGGTTAGAAGACTAGAGGCCAGGGGACCAGCACCTGTCCCAGTGTGAGAGGGTGGATTAGACCAGCGTGGCAACAACGTGGGTAGAGGAAACTTAAAAAATAAAATTGCTAATACCAAACACTCTCCTTCCAATGAGAATAGGATAAATCATATGGAATTTCCTTCTTTATCAATAAAAAATATTGGAATATCTGACAAGGGCCAACGTTGGAACAACTGAGTAGCAAAATATAGTATTATAACGCAAAGAATGACATAAATATCCATAAATCCATACCGACGTACATGAATGAGCACATAAAGAAACAGGGGAGAAGCAACAGCTCTCTCTTGCTGAAGTCTGATCAATAAATAATTCAGGAAATAGGAAATGACCATTAGCATCTCACAGAAGTAACGGCCTCAGGGAGATCCACCTGAGGACACTGAGTGGGCAAATGTTGAAGCAGTAACAGGTTATTTGCATGAAGTGGCTCCCTCTAAATTAGGGGTGTCGAACTCAATCAGAGAAGGGGCCAAAATCTAAAATCCAGCCTAAATCGCGGGCCGAATGGTTTACTGAACAGTCATAAACTGTCATTGTGATGGAAACGCAGCGGAGTGCAGTGATGACAGCGCGGTGCGGGCCACATTGCAAGGCCTGGCGGGACGGATGTGGCCCGCGGGCCTTGTGTTTGACACATGTGCTCTAAATAGTTCACCATGTTAAAGAGAAAAGTTAGTCCGTTTACAGTGGAACATTCCAGCAGGTACCACTTAGCCAAGGGACCGAGGAGCATCACCAGTCAGTGATTGAGACATCGTGTATTCCTTGATGTGATGCACTGAGGACATCATTCCTCTCTGGCAACTTCCCAATGAACACATAACCTCAATCTAATCATGAAAAAAGAAAATCAGACAAACCAACATTGAGGGGCCTCCCATAAAATAATTGAAAAGTACTGCTCGAAGGAGGTAAGTCAGGAACGGCCATAGGTTGGAGGAAACTGGAGCCATGACAACCAAACGCAATTTGAGATAATGATTGGGTCCTGAAATTAAAGACACTATAGAAAAACTAGCAAAACCCGCCTTTGAAAACTGCACGGAGACGGTGGCGTAGGTAACTGCCTGTACTCACCGCCTCTCACAACCACATCAAAACGATAACTAAAATACACAACAACCAGCATCCAGAACCCCCGGGAAGCTGGCTGAATGGAAGCCCTACAACTAAAAAGTAAAGAAGAAAGCACACTGAGACAGGTAAGAGATAGGTAGGAGGTACGGAGGGGTGGAACAGGCTGGTCTGGCACCCACACGGCTGCTTTCTAATTGGGAGTGAGATCACCTCTCCGGAGGCCACCCCGAGGAGCAAGGGGTCCCAGCCCCACCCCAGACCCCCAGCCCAGGCCCCCAGAGCTGGGAAAGAAGTACCTATGAGCAGTAAGAACCACGGGCTGTAAAAAACAGTGCAGATTGGAGGGGCTCAGTGACACAGAGGCTGCTGGAGACCCAGCTGCTCCTCTTACAAGGCCGGCGCACAAACTGAACTTACAGGGTCCTGCTTCCTCTCAGCTCCAGCACCAGGACGAGGCTCTGGGAGACCCAGATACAGACGAAGAGAAACTGGACTGCCTGGCATCCGGGCAGAAACTTGGGGGCTGCTTTCTTTCAGACGGAGGTTCTCGCAGCAGTCAGTCATTGCTTCCCATGCTGGGACCTCTCTGGTGCAGGGCTGACTGGCAGCCATTTCTGTTAGCTCCACCCTGGTGATTCCCTGAGACCCCGCCTCATCCAATTTACAACCCCACCCAAGCTGTGAGCAGCGGCTTTTGCAAATGAATGACTTTCCCCTGCTCTAGCAAAAATCTCTCAACAAGCGGCAGCCGGTCAGGGAGCCCCAAACCTATCCATAAAAGGCCCAAGACTCAGCACCTGCACCAGCCTGCCTTGCTTCACAGCTGGACCCCATCTGGGCACTTCCAGACCCGATACAAAGAAGAGGAATATGCAAATCTTCTTGGAGTCCTGCTGGGTGGCCCCAGGCAGTGGCTGACCTTGCACCTCCCTGGAGACCCAAAAGCCAGTGTACCCAGTGGTCAGTGTCAGAACACACCAGATTACATCTACACACACATCAGCAACACACTCAAGAGGCATTCTCAGTGAGCGCCAAAGCCCCACTGAAGCAAGTCCTGCTCCATAGGGATGTCTCCTACACAGCAGCTTTCCCACTGTAGTCGCAGCTGGTCCTCACAGCCAATTCCTCCCAGTGACACCAACAGCAATCAAGTCTCAACTACAAGACTGTGCTCACAGCCCACAAGAGGATGTAACTAGCGCTCCAGGCTCAGGTGACTATAGAAACACCTATTACCCAAGGACACTACCAACTCAAGGAGACTTAGTAGCTCTCCCCAGTACAGAGAAACACAGGGAAGCAGCCAAAATGTGGAGACAAATAAACATGTCACAAATGAAAGAAATGGAAGAAAGCAAACTACTGGCTCTAGAGTTCAAAACTACAATTATAAGGTTACTCAAGAATCTTCTAGAAACCTCCAAGGGACTTAGTGAAACTTTTAAGAATCTTAGTGAGAATGCAAAAAAAAAAAAAAAAAAAAAGGATCTTATATGCATATATGCAATACCTATGGATACAGACAATATGGTGGTGAGGGCCTGGAGGGGGGGGGGGGGGGGACGGACATCTGTAATAATCTCAACAGTAAAGATTAAAAAAAATAAAAAAAGCCCTAGCTGGTTTGGCTCTGCGGATAGAGCGTTGGCCTGCAGACTGAAGGGTCCCCGGTTCAATTCCAGCCAAGGGCAACATGCCTGGGTTGCGGGCTCAATCCCTAGAAGGGGGCATGCAGGAGGCAGCCAATCAATGATTCTCATCATCGATGCTTCTCTTTCTCCCTCTCCCTTCCTCTCTGAAATCAATAAATAAATAAAAACTAGTGAAATCCAAGTAAGTCCTATACTCAACAGTATTGTACTTAATTTCTTAGTGTTGACAACTGTTCTATGGCTATGTAAGGTATCCTAAGGAGAAGTCGAATGAAGGGTAAAGGGGAGCTCTTTTTGCAACCTTGACTAAGTCTAAAATTTTCTGAAACAACAATCTGTTGAAAGACAGCTGAGCCCTGGCCAGTGTGGCTGTTGGTTAGGCTTCATCCTGTGCACAGAAGGGCTGCCAGTTCAATTCCTGGTCAGAGCACAAGCCTGGGCTGGGGGCCGATACCCAGTGTGGGGCATAGAGAAGAGGGCGATTAATGTTTCACTCTCACATTGGTGTCTCTCTCTCTAAAAACTGATGAAAATTATTTTAAGAAAGCTGAATTAGCAGCCATTTCATAGAGTCCAACTTAATATGTCAGATCAGAAACAACAAAACTGAAGTGCTAAAACTACACTAATACATTACCCTAAAACCAGAGGCCCTGTGCACGGAATTCGTGCAAGGGCCATGACCCGGAGCCCACTGCTGCCCCCCCTGCCTTCCAGTGACTTTGTCCAAAAGGAAAGATGTCCGGTCTAATTAGCATATTATGCTTTTATTATTATAGATGCTACAAGGGTCCTTCTGCACATGTGTCAAACACAAGGCCCGCGGGCCAAATCCGTCCCACCAGGCCTTGCAATGTGGCCCGCACCGCGCTGTCATCACTGCACTCCGCTGCGTTTCCATCACAATGACAGTTTATGACTGTTCAGTAAACCATTCGGCCCGCGATTTAGGCTGGATTTTAGATTTTGGCCCCTTCTCTGATTGAGTTCGACACCCCTATATTTAGAGCAACTTTGCATTGAGATCAGAGCCGGCTAACGTTCAACTCAGCCATAATACTCTTATGATTTTTCTCTAGAGGTTCACTAAGAAAAGGACTCAACTGCCAACCAGGACCGGGAAGAACACAGCAAAAGGAGGCAATGTCCACGGGCCCTGTCATTACAGGGGACTGAGCATTACGTCAGCTACCTTCCTCTCACCCCACTTCTGAAGACGCCATGATGAGGCAATTTGGGGGGGGTGGGGTGTGTGTGTTACGATGGCCTGATGGCCATTTCCCAACACAGAAGCTTTACAGGATGGCAAGGCCTCCTCCAGAAGCCTCGCAGCCATTAGGTGGCGAGTTCCCAAGATGCCTGTCCTGCCACTGGTGTCCTGCTACCCTGCCCCTTACCACGATTGTTGGACGGCGACCCAGACTCCAGGCCAGCATGAAGCTGGGCACGGTGGAAGGTGTTCTCTCAGGACAAGGTGATTTCAGAGCCAACTGAAACGGTCATCTCCAAAATTACACTCACTGCACCGAGCGGCATTTACAGCTCCCGGCTCTTTCGACCGATGAGTGACTAGCAAGTGTTCCTCTTCGTAGGTGGACTAACTTCCGTGACGCTTAAGTACCAGTAATGTTTACTGCTTAATGGTCTGAGCTAATCTAACTGCCAGAGGTGAACAATTTACTCTCTAATGCCAGGCTTCTTTTAATTTGCCACAGCAGTCTCATTGCTTATAATCACTCTCTGTGATGGTCCCTTTAACTTAGTGCTACTTAACAAGGTTTTGCTGCGTCTCAGAGCTATATTTCAACCCCAAATTATCAAAATGTGCAAAAACGTTTACTCTCCCATGATCTCAGTGAACTGACGCCTGGTTTTATCTTGAATATACTCCCTAAATAGAGTCGTACGGTAAAGATACACTCCCTAAAGTTCCAAATCATCGTCAGGGAAATTCATACACCACGTCCTTTCATAGAGCCATAAGTGATTAGTGTCAAAGTTAGAGAATCATTTTCAACAAATGCAACCGACCAATTAGATATACCAAAGGAAATTCTTTATTGTAAACAAGATATAAAGTACAACAAAAGAAATATTGTGCAAACTGTAAATCACAAGGATTTTTTTTTTTTTATTTATTCAAAGAAAACTTTTCCAAGGGTCATTACGATGTCAGAAATCTCGACCCGATATCGAGAAAAATGTTAAATGGGTAGGTATAGGGACATTTTTCACTATATATTTTAAACAATTTGTTTTTGTTTTACCACTGTGTATGTCACCCACGACACGACAGGATATAACAGGAATACTGTTAACAAGAGTGAATGTTCTAGTGATTTTTCTACACGTCTAGTTCCACATCCCCACATAAACCACCTATAAATTAATAGGACAGTATCTGTCCATTTGTGAATAATGGTCATTAACGTTCTATATAATTCAATAAAGCACACGTTATGTCCTCATAACATACTTTACTGATGACATAAGCCATCTTTTTCAAGGAGTTATCTGAAATTCTCGATATCCCTTCCTTACAATATATATTTTCATCTTTGAATTTTTTTTCCTAAAACAAAGTGCAGTGTATCTTAGTCTCTAGGAAAACACATAGATATACAATTCTTAACTCTACACAAGAAACTGCAGGCAAACTAAAGTTCAAAGCATAATAAAATGCCTAATCATTTCTTAAAACTTTCAAAACAAAAATGAAAAAAAAAAAAAAGTTGTATTATTTGAGGATTCCAAATGTTGGGCCCTCTTTAGCAATATACAGCTAATCAATTCCAAATGTCAGCAATAATGTAAAAATGGCAAGGTCTATTTAGCAACTACACCCACCAAGTTGACTGGAAAGACGAGGAATAGTAAACAAGATAACTCTAGGAAAAGGTGACAATATTTATAATAATAAAAACGGACTTTATATCTCCATCTCTGTACCGTAGCGTTGATTTCCAGCCTCTCTCACTCTTGAGACCAGTGCTCTGGGAGGATCACATTGCAACATTGGTCTCAAGTACAAACGGCAAAAGTAAAGTAACAGGTTGTGCACACAAATTCGAAGTTTGTGCTGCCTGTGCTGACCTCATCGGAAACCTTCGAAGACTATGGAGAGGAGTAAAAGCTTCCCCATGTCTCTTAGGTGATAAGAAATGAATCCTGGCGCTCTGGCGGGCCTGTGACCACAGCGCTTCCTGTCATGGAACCCCGTCTGGGTGGGCCTCTGCTCCAGCGCCTCCGGAGGGCCACAGACTGGCATGGAAGCATTCCCGCATCACCGCTGGGCTCCCTGCTGTGACCAAAGCGAGTTCTTACTCTTCACCTTCTGGGTGTCACTGGGCGGGAGCAGCGGCTGGAGGTAGGGCAATGTCGTTCAGCTTGCTCACTTCCATCTGCCAGTTTGGGAGCTTCTTGGCGGACAGGTGGCGCCGGGCATGCTTGGTCAGATGGTCGCTCCTCATGAACCGCCGCTCGCACATGGGACAGGCGAATTTCTTCTCACCGGTGTGGGTTCGCCGGTGCCTGGACAGTTCATCAGAGCGGGCAAACCTCCTCTCGCAGCCTTTCCAGCTGCAGCTAAAAGGCTTCTCTCCTGAAACACACAATTCAGATGATCGTTACTACGCGTTTACTGTACGTCACACGCGCAATCGTATCTACGGATACGTTAAAAAATAAAAGCTACTAAATAAACTGTCAAGTATTGTATACGACTAAACTAACACACTGTCATGTCAGTACATCCGCTACTTCCAACATTCATGATCACGTTTACGCCTCTTCCCTTTATAAGAGAAGCCCAAAACAAAAAAGGTTTCTGAACTCCAGCTACCGTGCAAGGGCTTTAGAGACGATTTATTAAAGCAGCCCCTCACGACATTTGCACAAATCATCGTTTGAGAAAACTCAAACAAAACACCTTCGTGAAACCTCTGAGAGGGGCTTGCACGGGGTGACTATCACCCACGACCCTGGCTAACATGGCGAGCTCTTCCTTGAGATGCCTGGCTTCTCTCTGCGGCCACCGCCAAGAAAACTCCACCGGGACCTTCCACAACGCGAACGAGCAGCGTTCGGTACCTGTGTGCGTTCTCATGTGGGCCTTCAGGTGAGAGCTTTTGAAGTACGTCTTGCCACAGCCGGGATGGCCGCAGATGTGACTTCTGATTCTGGACGAGTCCATCTGAGGAGCGACTTTGGCGGCCGAAGGGGAGAACCCTGGAGCGGGGGCGATGGGGGAGAGTCTGGTGCCGTTGGGGCTCACCACGGGGGGCTTCGGGTTCGGGACCACGGGCTGCGGCACCACAAACATGACCGCGCCCTTGGGCACCTGCGGGCCCATGAACACGAGAGGCGGGCAGACGGCGGGCGGCTGGCTGGGCGGCGTGCTGGGGACCACGGTGGTCACGACGGGGCTGTTGGCAGGGAGGGGCACCATCTGGCAGATGACGGGCACGGGTGGCACTCCCCCTGCGGAGACGGCGGCGGGCGGGGACACCAGCACGGACTTCTGCTGGGGGGACAGGGAAGCCGGCTGAGACCGGCAGATGACCGTCTCTGAAGGAGGCGCAGGGAAGTCATAAGGGGCGGCGCCCGCTTTCTCATCGGCATCCGCTCCGGGGCTCCTCTCGCACGGCGAGCTGCTTGGGGACACGGCTGCACAGGGGACGCCTTTGCGGGCAGCCTCCACGCCGAGGTGGGCTCTCCTTCGGAAAGAGCTGTCCTGGCCGTGCAGGCCGCCGGCCGCTTTCACCGGGCAGGACTGGCGGGTGCACAGCTGGGCATCGGCCGTGTGCCGGATCACACTGGTTGCCTGAGCCTTGGGGAACTTGGGGACGGGAGCCGGGACTTTCTCTTCCTCCTTGAAAGGGGCGGCGAGGTGAGGCTTGGAAGCATCCGAGAACGATTTGAAGTGTCCGGTAGGTGGCGCTGGTGCAATCAGATTGGACACTTGAGAGGGTTCAAAGTCAGAGGGACTGTAAGGTGGCGTCAAACACTACAAAAGAGGGGGAAAAAAGCAGGCATAACAGTGTGAGAAATTTAAAGTGGAATTCATTAGTTAAGATTATAGAAAGCATGTCACTGGCATTCGTCTTAAAAACAACAATACTTACAAAGGCTGGGATCGTATGAAAATCAGGTGTACTAGGAAGCAAATTCTCTTCCTCCGACATGTCAGACACGGGAGTAACAGGTCTGTTTTCAATGTATTTCTTAAAATCAGTCTTCCAACTGCAGCTCATTGACATAAGCGCTTCTACAGCTTCAAAATCACTTTTCTCTGCAGTTTTGTTCCAGGAATACATACTCTCTTTTGATCTTTCAGAAATCATTTCCATTCTTTCCTCCTATAGAAAAAAAAAGGTTGAATACTTATAAACATATTTTTTTGTCATCCGAGTAAGACCAGAACACTGTACAATTTTTTTTTTCATTTTACACTATTTGCACAACTCTCCAAATTAAACATGAAATAATTTTTCGCCTGCTCTAAACCTTCCTCTCACATCTATGTTTGAACACTGAAATCCTGGTTAGGTAGAGAGGCGAATGTGATTAGCATTAAGGGGACGAAGGCCAAAGGCATCAGTACATTTGTGATAAATGAGAAAGAGAGAGAGAGAGAGAGAGAGAGAGAGAGAGAGAGAGAGAGAGAGAGGGAGGGAGGGAGGGAGGGAGGGAGAGAGAAGCACTTGGCTTGGAAGAAAAAGAGTTATATATGTTCCTTCCACTGGGGTCAAAGTAAGGATGGCTCTGAGAAATTATCTCCTTTTAAGACTTCCTTAAAAAACGCAGTGCAGCAGGCAGCTCTGGCCTGTTCATATCGACCTTTGAAAAGTCACTTCACACTTTGGGATAAGTCAACAGGATAAGGATTCTTCAGTCTCTTTCAAATCGGTGTATAAGATTATTTGAAATTAAATTTTTTTTTTTGATAACTTAGTTATCTATGGTGGAGAAAGAGAAATACTTGGGGGGGAGGGGAGAATCCCAAAACTTTAAGTTTCAACTTCTTCATGTGTGGGTTCCATTTAACACAATGGTTTGCTACTCACAATGACGGCCAGCTAATGCAATAATACTAAAATAAATAAATAAATAATGGGTAATCAGAAAATCTGATTTTCTACTCGGAATTTGCAAAAAGCCCTGGCTGCAAGGAGTTCGCAATAGTCAAAACACAGTATTTTAATTCTTTCAAGAACCGCTGGATGACAAGATACACAGCACACGCACCCTTTGTATTCACACGCACAGCTCCTTCTATCCAGTGTGGAACGAACGCCTCCCGTCAAACTGCACTTCCAGAACAATGGGTACTCCCCACCACCACCTCTCCCTCCCATTTCTCATGAACGTGATCCCATTCTTCCTCCCCAACCAGAAACTGTGCAAAAATACGCGAAAAGCATTCTTTACACGTTGCAAGGTATTATTCTCGACGCTTTTTTTTTTTTTTAATGCATAAACCTTTCGGGTGGAAACGCTTGGGAAACGAGCCCTCGCTCTTAAGCCTATCGCTAGCAATGCCATTACATAACGGAGCGTGCGTTTATTGCAGGCTGCAGCGGACAGCGCTGGTGATGTATTAAAAAAAAAAAAAAAAGGCCTCCATCTAGAGGCCAAAGCGAGGAAGGAGAAGGAGAGAAAAGGCAGGCGGGCCGGCGGCGGGGAGGAGAGTGAGGCGGGAAGGGAGGGAGGCAGGCGGGCGGGGAGGGGAGGCAGGGCGCGGGGCGGGAGACGGGAAAGGGAAGCGCGGGCGGCGGCGGAGGCAGACGAGGGGCGGAGGGAGGCGGAGGCGGCGGCGGGGGAGATCCTCGCTGGCGGGGCCGGGCGGATGGGGCCGCCCCAACCTCCGCGAGGCTCCCGGGTGAGTCACTGGGAACATTCCTCGCGAATCGCACGTCCCCGCAGCCCGGCCCCCGCCCCGCGCGCATTGGCCGGGGCCGGCGGGGGCGGGGGCCGGGCGGCGGCATGTGAACAAAGCGTGCTCCGCGGGCCCCGCCGCCGCGCAGGAAGCGCTCCCGGGGATCGCCGCCCGCCGCCACCTTTCACCCACTTCCTGCGCCGGCCCCGCCCGCGCCAACCGCCCGCCGGCCCGCGGGGAGGGCGGGGAGGGCGGGCCGCGGGGATCGCCCGGCGCCCGGCGCGCCCGCCCCGCCTCCCCGCGCCCCGCCGTTCCCTTAGGAACCGACAGCGGCCGGCGCGCTCCCGCCCCTGGCGGAGGCCGGCGCTGGGTCACTCGGGGACGAGACGCTCCCCGGGCGCACCCGCTCCCGGCCCCCCGCCCCCGGCTCAGCTGCCGGAGGAGGAGGAGGAGCAGCCGGGTCCCCGCGGAAACCCGGCCCCCCGCGCCCCTCCCGGCGGCCAAGCCCCCGGGGAGCCGGCCGAGCCCTCGGTGCTTCCCTCCCACGCCGCTCCGGGGACCGCAGTCCGCCCGGCTTCTCCCCCTCCCGCGCCCCCCGGAGTCTGCAGCCCCGGCCCCCGCCCCCCGCGTCTCCGCGGGATCCCAGACGGGCTGCCCCCGCAGGCTCCCGGCGCGCGGCAAGCACCGCCTGCGGCTCCCGCCGAGACTCAGGGCCCCCGCACCCGTCCACCCTCCTCTCCCCACCCCGCCCCGCTACTGGGTCCCGCTTTCCGCCCTTCCCTCCCCGCCTCCTCCAAGGGGTTCGCAGAAGGCGGCCACCTGCCCCCCCCTCCGGAGATGGGAGTCCCCCGCCGGCGTCTGGGGGCGAACTTCGGGTCCCCCTCCCCGGCGCTCTGCGGTCCGCGTGCCATCCCCCCGCATCCCCGCCGGGCACCCCTCCTCCCCGCCCCCGGGTATATCTGCTGAGCCGTCCCCCCCTCCTGCAAGCTGAACGGAGGATCAGACCCCCCGAGAGGGTCCCCTCCTCTCCGGGGAAGGACCCCGCCGCTCAAACGCTCGCCAGCAGCCCCCTCCCAGCCCGGATCGCAGTCCTGACCCAGGAGGCGGCTTCTCTCTCTCCGGGCGCCAGGTGCAGGGCGGCCCCCAGCCCGCTCCCTCTTCCGGCCCCCGGCCATCCCCTCCCTCGCTGGCCTCCAGGCTCCCTCCACGGAGGTGCCCCTTCCTTCCCCTCGCTGCACCTTGGGCAGACCTGTCTCTCCCTCCCTCGGCGCTCCATCCCATGCCGCCTCTCCTGACACCCCCCCCCCCAACCCGCCCTCACCGGAGCCCGGCCCGCAGGCGGCAGGGAACCTCCCGACTCCCCCAAGACCGACCGCGCTGCAGCCCGACCGGGTCCCCCTCCGGCGCGGCAGTCCGGGGCTGGCTCCTCGGGTTCGCGCCCCGCCGGCCGCCCAGACGTGGCGAAGCCGGGGCGCGCCGGGCATTCCCAGGTGGCTTACCGCAGCCTGCTGGAGGGAAGCGCCGGCGAAGTTGAGCATGGTTGGCTGCCTGCAGGCCGCGGGCGGGCGGGCGGGCGGCACGCTGACTGGCTGCGGGGCTGCGGGGCTGCCGGTCCAGACGGGCGCGCGGAGACACTCGACGCCGCTGCCGCCTCTGCGCTCCGCGCCGTCTGCCCCCTCCCCATTCAGGTAGCCGCTCCGCCCCGCCGCCGCGCGCCGCGGGCCGGGGGCGGGGCCGGGGGCGGGGCCTGCGGCGGGCCAATCAGCGGCAAAGGTGTGTGAGGCGCCGGCCAATGGGCTCGCGGGGCCACGCGTGATCAGCGGCTGCCCGGCAGCGTGAAGCCTGTGTCGGTGGAGCGTGTACACAGTCCCCGCCAGCGTGTTCCCGCGGCCCGGGGGACTCCCCGCGGCCACCTGACTCAGGGACACCCCCCCTTTATCCCTCGCCCACCCCCCGGGGGCCGGAGTCGTACCCCCCCCACCCGCACCACCCGGCCTAGGGGGCGGGGCCGGAGCCCGGAGGCGCGGTGGCGGCGGCGCGCCCAGGCACTGCGGAGGGCCGGCCCCACGTGGGTGGCGGGGAGGGATGCCCACTCCGCCGCGTCCCCTTGGCGCGGGGCCCTCCCGCCCCCCAGTCGGCCAGCCGCGGGGTGAGCGGGACGCCAGGCAGCCAGCCGAGCGGGGGAGGCGGCGGCGGCTGCAAGCTCTGGGGTCCGAGGAGCCAAGAGATTTGTATTTGGAAAACGCCAAACCTTTCCACGTCTGGCGAGAAAGCAAGAGCCCGCGGACCAGGCTGGGCTGCATCTCTGGAGCCTGTGCTTGGCTTTGCCCGGGCTGAGCTGCGGGGATCAAGGGGGGCTGGAGGGGGGCGGGGAGGGAGCGGAGGGAGCCGGGTAGCTGAGCCGACACCTGTTCCCGCGCCCCCCGCCCACGCCCCAGCCTGCGGCGCGGGCTCGCCCTCCCCACCCCACCCCACCCCACCCGCATGGCTGGGAGCGGCGCCCGCCCGGCCCGCCCCGCCCATCCTTCCTCCTGCGCTGCCCGGGAGCGGCGTGGGGGCTGCGGGGAGCCCGAGGGCTGCACCAATGGGGCGAAGGGAAGCCGTAAACCCGATTTTTTATTTTTTTTTTGGAATTTTTTTTAATCCTTTCTGGTGGCGGAATCGAGTTTGGAGCTCGAGGTAGTTAAAGTTTAAATTGAAGTCTACAAGCTGTTTTCAAAAATAGAAACCCCCACCCCAGGCCCCAGCCTCCGGAAACACCCCGCCTGGAACCTGGGGATTAAGGGCGGGAGGGAGGGATCTCCCGGGGTCGCCGGGGGCCCGCCCAGGCGCGCCGGGGACCTGCGCGCCACGCCTGGGGTGGGGCTGCTGCAGGGTGTTAGCTCGGTCCGCGCCCTCCACCGGCCCCACACACTCCCACAGCCTCCACCACCCTCCCTCCTTCCCTCTCCCTCTCTCCCCTCCACCCCCCCAACCCCCTCCGGGCTGCACGGAGGCGGGCGGGGCCCGCTGATGGGGAGCCTGCGGCCCTGCTCCGGGTTTGCGCCTTTTTAGCCGTTGGGTGCCGGGTCGCAGCCGCTGTTGGGGAGTCGGGTAGTGATAACGGGGCCTAAAGGGGGGCGGACATTTTATCTCCCTGGGACAAGCCGGACACGTGGCGGAGATCACCGCCCCTCCGGCGAGCAACCGAAAGGCTAATCATGTCCAAGTCCAATCAGCACTGGATGGGCACAGAAAAGGGACTAGTAACCTGAGCAATCGCCAAATCCATGAACGTTCTCCGATGACTTCTTCGGGTATATCTGAGGCCCAGGCTAGCCAACAACAGTAATTAATAATAATTAATAATAATAATAATGAGTCACAGGGCCAGAGCCGCCCACGGTGGGAAGGAAGGGAACTGAAGGGCCTCCTGTCGCTAGTCTGCTGGAGGGGCGCCAGCCCAGCAGCGCAGGCAGCTCTCTTCCTGTCTCCCCTCCGCTCCAGCCCGCCCCCTCCCTCTCCCCCTCCCCCGTCTGCGGGGTGTCCTTCCCGGCAGGCTTCCTTCCGCCCGGGCAGTCCCATCCTGTTGATCCGAGCCTCCTCCGGGGCTGGAGCAGCTGGCCCTGGGCACCTGCTGCCGCCGCCGCAGAGGAAGCCCCCGTCTGCGCCCCCCAGCCGGCAGGCCAGCTTTCCTTCCTGCGGGGGAGCCACAGCCAAGCCCTCCAGGTCTGAACCCCGGTCCCTCCCTCAGGAATGTGGGGCTGCTGGCCTGGTGTCCCAGCAGGCTGAGAAGCAGGGAGCTTGCACGGTTTGTGGGAGTGATTCAAAACAGGAAAGGGAAGGGAAAAAGGGGGTAGGAGGAACAGCGTGGAGGCGGTGGCACAATTCCTAGCGATTCAGAGAAAGATGTTCGCTGGCCGCCTCAGACTCCACAGAGCCAAAGCTAAGACCCTTGTTTCTGCTCTTCCTGCACCCACCCACTGTTTCCCACGCAGCCCTCCCCTTCTCCGGCAAGGCCCTGGGGCCAGCTGGTCCCCAGAAATGTCTCTCTCTCCTCTGTTCCCGCTTCTCTCCCTTCCATGTTGCTCTAGGTCCGTCTGGCATCCACGTCCTCTTGGTTTAAGCAAGCTGTAACCTCCCGCCCCAAACCACCATCCCCCCCAGTTCCTTTCCGGCGCCCAGACTTTCCACAGGAGGCCCGAGTGGCTTACTGGAAGTCACGACCCAATCGTGGCACTCTCTGCTTAAACAGGATCCTTGGCTCCGTTTCATTCAGAGCCATTCTACGGTGGGCCCCCGACTTCTCTCCCTCCCCACCCTCCCAACCCCATCTCCCACCCAGACACACCCCTGACCACAGCCACAACAAATGGCAGGCCGCTCCTCAAGCATACGGGACACTTGCGCGTTTCTAAGCCACCTACTATGTGTTCTAGTCGCTGGGTACAGGGACAGTAGCAATGGACAAGACCGGTGGGTTCCCTGCTCTCAAAAAGCTTGGGTAGGAAGGCAAAGACAGGTAGACAAGACATGCACGCGCACGCGCGCACACACACACACACACACACACACACGTTCACTTAGGAAGGCAGGTGAAGGAACTGTAACGCATAGAATTGCAGTAGAGGGATGTGACTGTGGGTCGCCGGCCTGGGAGGGAAGAGAAGCTTGCTTTGAGGAGGGAGCTGGTGAGCTGAAAACCTAATGAGAGGACAGGCTGGTCAGAGAGGGCGCCTGAGTAGAGGAAACAGCCAAGACGAGTCCTAGAGCAGGAGGGAGGTGCCCTGTGGCCGGAGGGGGAGAGTGTGCTGGGGAAAGGAGGGCACAGAGCGGGCACAATGAGGCAGGAGGAGCCCGGGGGGAGAGGGGGGCTGATGAATTTCAAGGCCCCGTTTGAAATGGAGACTATCTTTCACGTGCAGCAGGAGGCCATCGTGTCCAGGAAGAAATGCACTTTTTTTTTTTTTAATTTTTACCCTACAAGAGCTCCTTTGCCACCTTGTTGACACCTTTCGAGATAATTCATCGTTCCCCCCTACTTCTCCACACCTCCATGATCAGAGCAAAGCATGCGGCACATCCAATTGCCAGAAGTATTTTACAAAACTAAATTCTGCCGGCGTTCCACCCAGATGTGGCCACGTCAAGGTCATCTTTCTGGTTCCGTGTCTGTCCCAGACCGGGCACTCAAGATTTTTAAATGGGTAAAAGAAGACTGTAGGTCGTCTCTGAAGACTTCCTGGGGTTATGAACAGAATGTGGACTGATGCCTAGGCAGAAGCCTGGATGCTTCCACACCTTTCCTTAGCTTGTATCATGGCAGGGCCAGGCCTGGAAATCTGTCACCTTGGGCGTGAGTGAGAGGAAGTCCGGGGGCAGACACACGCCCCCTTTCCTGCTGTCGGGGCTGGGCTCTCCTTCCATCAGAACAGTGAAGGAGGTGGGAGGAGGTCAGTTATGGCTATTAAAGCACATTGTACCCAAGAGCCATCTCTGCGTTCCTTTGCAGTCAGTGGGTATCATCAGCATTCATCCTCACCCCACCATGTGCCGGGGACCAGCTGAGCTCGGAGGAACAACTATCCAATATAAAACAGACACAGCTCCTGTGCTGAAGGAGCTTCCAGTCTAGTGGGAGAAGGAGATGAGTGAGCCAGGCATGACTGTGGAGTGGAGAGTGCTAAGGAAGGGGTGTGCACAGAATGTCCTGGGAGGGCCAGGGAAGGCTTCCCCCAGCTGATCCTGAGCTGGAGGAGTAGGGGAGGGAGGGGGGCGGGCTTGCTGAGGTGGGGAAAAGAGAGAACTTTGGGGATTCAGGATGCTCTAAACTGTCTGATTACAGATTTGAGAGGTAGGGTAAGGAGCCCAGGGTGTAAAAGCAAGCAGCCCAGAACAGTGGTTGGCAAACTGTAGCTTGCGAGCCACCTGCGGCTCCACAGCCGTGGTTTGCCACTCTGTTGACTAATGAGTTTGCCCACCACTGGGATAGGGGCTTCATCACAAGGAACAACAACAGCCTGTAATTACTGGAATCGAGAGTCTAGGTCAGTGATCAGCAAACTCATTAGTCAACAGAGTGGCACACCGCTGCTCTTGAGCCCCATGTGGCTCTTGAGCCGCAGTTTGCCGACCACTGGCCCAGACCATAGAGGGCCTTTGTGTGCCCTGCTAAGGAATGTAGACGGAGAACTTCTGTCCAGAGGACAGCGGGGACTTACCGACAGGCTTTAGGCAGGATCGATGCTATAGAAAACCCATGCTGGCCCCGGTGGGGAACAGACCAGAGTGTGTGTGTGTGTGTGTGTGTGTGTGTGTGTCTAACACCAGGGAAGAGGCTCTTGTAGTAACGCAGGCAGGAGACAGTGTGACACCAGAAACTGGCAGGACTGGGTCATTGATTGGATGTGGGCATGAGGGCAGAGGGAGAGGTGGAGGAGGACTGCTGGGTGTCTGGCTTGATTCATTGGTTGAAACAGGACAAAAACGAGACTGTAAAGCTCAGGGAAGGGACCCTGGGAGGCAGGAGCTTTCGGTGGGGGAGGAAGAAAAGAAAATGCCAAACGGGAATTAGAACATGTAAAGGTGAGATTACCTGTGGCCCATCCAAATGCAGATGCCCAGGAGGCGGTTGGAATTTCAGGTCTGGAGCCCAGGAGAGAAAGCTCTGGGCTGGAGATTAACGTGTGGGAGTCGCCCCGGCCGGTGTGGCTTAGTCTGTAGGAGCCTCATCCCATACACCAAGAGGTCGCAGGTTTGATTCCGGGTCAGGGCACGACCCTGGGTTGCAACCAATCTGTGTTTCTCTCTTACATTGATGTTGTGCTCTCTCTCCCTAACCCCTCTGTTTCAAAATCAAAGACAATGTTCTAGGGAGAGGATTTTTTTTTTTAAAAAAGGGGGGGGGGCGGGGAGTCATTAACATGTAGGTGGTAGCCAGAGGATTGGATAACATCCCCTAGAACAGTGGTCGGCAAACTGTGGCTCTCAAGCCACATGCGGCTCTTTGCCCCCTTGAGTGTGGCTCTTCCACAAAATACCACGGCCTGGGCGAGTCTATTTTTGAAGAAGTGGCGTTAGAAGAAGTTTAAGTTTAATAAAATTGGCTCTCGAAATAAATTTTAATCGTTGTCCTGTTGCTATTTTGGCTCTGTGGACTAATGAATTTGCCGACCACTGCCCTAAGAGTGAAGAATAACAGTAAGAAAACTGAGGGTGGGCAGCTGGGGAGCTACAGGCAAAAGAAGGTGACCGAGAGGGAACAGCACACGGTGAAATGCTGGCCAAGGGCGACCCAGCAAGTACTTCTTTCGTATACGCTGAGCGTAGGACTTCTCGGCCTAATGTAACAAAATGGCGACAAGAGGCAAGCCAGGGCTGGTTCAGAAAGTAAAAGTGTCAGACAACCTTAAAAAAAATTATCCCCTCTGTTGATCGTTATTAGCTATTTTTATTAGACTTAGTCACCCTGGTTTTTAAGCTCATTAAAATATTTATTTTTAGTTTTGAACTCTTTAAGTAGTTGGGTGTGTCCCCCCCCCCCCTAAAGATGGCTACAACACCACCTCCCATTCCATACAATCTTTTCCGATGGGACTGCCATTCCTGCTTCACCAGGTGAAGTTGCTTTCCCCAACTTTATTTTTTAATTTAATTTATTTTTTAAAATATATTTTATTGATTTTTTACAGAGCGGAAGAGAGAGGCATAGAGAGTTAGAAACATCGATGAGAGAGAATCATCGATCAGCTGCCTCTTGCATACCCTCTCCTGGGGATGTGCCCGCAACCAACGTACATGCCCTTGACCGGAATCAAACCGGGGGCCCTTGAGTCTGCAGGCCAACGCTCTATCCACTGAGCCAAACCGGTTTCCTCTCCCCAACTCTTTTTAAACAGTATTTTTAAGAATACATTTGTATTGATTTCAGAGAGGAAAGGAGAGGGGGCGAGAGAGATAGAAACATCAATGATGAGAGAGAATCATTGACCAGCTGCCTTCTGCACGCCCCACAATGGGGATTGAGACTGCAGCCTGGCCATGTGCCCTGACTGGGAATTGAACCGCAACCTCCTGGTTCATAGATCAATGCTCAACCACTGGGCTGTTTCCCCAACTCTTGTTCCAGGATTCACTTTGACCAATGGAATCCTGGGCGGGGGCAGTGGGACTGGGCACCTAGGTCTCAGGGAAGCCTTTGATGTTTCCCTTTTCTCCCACTTGGGAACACAGCCCCCAGGCAGAAAAGCTTACAGTGAATTAGTGAATGGGTAAGAGAAAACGTGGAGAGAGAATGGCCTCGGGAGGAGACCAGGGTACCCCAACCACCAGCCAGGACCAAGCATGACCAGCTGACACAGCCCGAAGCAGAGATAAGCTCTACTCAAGTACCCACGGGATCATGAACAATAAATGGAAGGGCAAGGCAGGTGGGATTTCCTGCTTCTCTTCCATGGAGAGTCCCCTGCCCTCTCTGTCGGCCGGGACATCCCTGGGCTTTGAGTGGTTTGCTATGTGCAAGCGACAACCGAGACTGTGTGTGTGTGTGTGTGTGTGTGTGTGTGTGTGTGTGTGTGTTTCTGCTCTGGAGTGACAGCCACGGTTTTAAATTTATTTTATAAGTATATATAAGATCCTTAAATATATATATGTATATTTGAGGATCTTAAACAGTTGGGAGGAAGCCCCAAAGTGGACTAGAAAAATCAATCAAGTAGAGGAGGACAAAAAATTGGAGTAAGAAGTAATGTTTTTGCCGAAACTGGTTTGGATCAGTGGATAGAGCACATGTGTCAAACACAAGGCCCGCGGGCCAAATCCGTCCCGCCAGGCCTTGCAATGTGGCCCGCACCGCGCTGTCATCACTGCACTCCGCTGCGTTTCCATCACAATGACAGTTTATGACTGTTCAGTAAACCATTTGGCCCTCGATTTAGGCTGGATTTTAGATTTTGGCCCCTTCTCTGATTGAGTTCGACACCCCTAGGATAGAGCATCGGCCTGCAGACTGAAAGGTCCCAGGTTCAATTCCGGTCAAGGGCATGTACCTTGGTTGTGGGCATATCTCCATTGGGGGGTGTACAAGAGGCAGCTGATGAATGATTCTCTCTCATCGATGTTTCTAGCTCTCTGTCCCTCTCTCTTCCTCTCTGTAAAAATTCAAAAAAATATATTTTTTAAAAATATTTTTTTAAAAAAAGAAGTAATGTATTTTAACTTGGAAAAGTAGGAAGTACTAAAGCTGAAATACCCCACCACCACCACCACCACACACACCCATCCTCCCACCCCCTCCCCAGGAGCTGTCTGCTGAGGCTCGGACAGGAAATACACGTGTAACCGGAGGGAGGGGAGATCACAGGCCCCAGTCTGCTTTGCACTAGGGTAGGGGTGTCGAACTCAATCAGAGAAGGGGCCAAAATCTAAAATCCAGCCTAAATCTCGGGCCGAATGGTTTACTGAACAGTCATAAACTGTCATTGTGATGGAAACGCAGCGGAGTACAGTGATGACAGCGCGGTGCGGGCCACATTGCAAGGCCTGGCGGGACGGATGTGGCCCGTGGGCCTTGTGTTTGACACATGTGCACTAGGGGTTGCCGGGCTCACTGAGGCTGGGGAGGACCTAAGCTGACCCGCTATGGAAAGGTCATGGCATATTGCAGCACTTCACCTTAGGATTTTTTTTTCTTTAATTAAATTTTTCCACTCTCCATTCTGCCCATTTTTTATCTCCCCAAGAGGGGAAGTAGTTAAGTGATTAAATGATTCACTGGCTCTGTAAGGTTCCAATTGGCAGTACAGTTATTTAATATTTTAATTCTTATAAAGTGAAAATAGCCTTATTGCTTTCCAAACGTACACTCAATCATAACGCTGCACAGCACACCGGAGCGCCTCTTCGAAACTTCGAGGCCGGTGCCTGCCGTCCAGCCCCGTAGCAAGTGTCTATGGCGTGCCCGCCATGCGCCTGCGCCCGGGGATGCGTCAGAAGAGGCAAGGGAGCAGAGGCTGGTGGAAAGGGAAGTGCTGGGGGCAGGGCTCTGCCCTCTGTGGCATGTCCTTGAGCAGAGACATTTATTAATATTAATATTATTATTATTATTTTTAAATAGCATTGATCTGTTTCTTTTTCTTTTTCTTTTTTTATTGATTTTTTTACAGAAAGGAAGAGAGAGGGATAGAGAGTTAGAAACATTGATGAGAGAGAATCATTGATCAGCTGCCTCTTGCACATCCCTTCTGGGGATGTGCCTGCAACCAAGGTACATGCCCTTGACCGGAATCGAACCCGGGACCTTTCAGTCTACAGGCGGACGCTCTATCCACTAAGTCAAACCAGTTTTGGCAGAGCAGAGACATTGAATACCCCCCTTCCTGCACCCAGCACTTCCCTTTCCACCGGCCTTCGCTCCCTTGCATGTTTTCATTTCCCGGACTGCTGGCCTTACCAGATCCTAAACGCCTTCCAGAGCCAGATCTGTGTCCAGCTCATGTCTAAGCTGCGGTGTCCTTCTGGGCCCACCCCCACGCCCAGTGGCCCACAGCCAGTGCCATGGTCTGCATTCGGTAAAGGTATGGTAAACA